CGAGGTGGTGAAAATGCTCGGTGCAGTGGCCAGAATGAAAAGAGGGCAAACCGGCAGCCTTTTCTGGATCTGATCTTCGATCCAAAGTATAAGGAGTTTTTCCATTTCGTGGATGAGTCCTTTTCGCTGTCTTGTTATACTTGCGTTCATTCCTGCTGATCCTTTCATCGCCTCTCTGATCCTTGCCTTATCCTTCAAAATAGTGGAGATGGTGGAGTGGGCCAGGCCTTCTTCTCGCGCTATTTTAGTCACCTTCTTCCCAGCCTCATACGCTTTGATGATCTTCATCTTCAAATTGAGATCAATGGCTTTCCTTTGCTTCTTGCTACTTCCTTCAGCTGAACTGGGGTTCTTTCTCTTTGAAGACATCTTGGTATGGGATATAAATGCGCGTAAACAAGTAAATAAACAAAATAAGAGCAGATTATACACCATACTAACTGTAATAGCAAAGATGTGACAGAGAGAGAGAGAGGTTGTAAAAGTCATAAATGCATCTACTGGATGCAAAATGAATTTTTCATTACTGTCATATTTGTGAATTGTCACTAACCGAGGTAGTTGCTAAATGAGGAGTGGCTGTACCTTATTCTGGGCAATTTACTGGAGAGACAGCAGAACACTTCCTTGCTTACAAACCTTTGGCTGGCTTCTCACAACATAAGCCTAAACCTAGTTTCACAAACTACAATACAGCCACTCCTCCTTTTATGTCTACCTCAGTTAGTGACCGTTCACAAATAGAACGGCAATAACCAGTGGGAAAAAAATAATTTTCCAATCAATGTACACACTTATGATCAAATTTCTACGCCTGACAACAATGCACACCACAGTGAGAGTAACACTAGTGTTGCTGCATGAGGGACCTTTATCTGGATGAGATGGCAGCACAATAACCACAGCAACTTTGCAGTGTCTCTCTCTCTCTCTCTCTCTCAGTCACGGGTTCACTTAGCGACCATTTTGCTTCCAATTTAAGGAAGGGATTGCATCGCTAAACAAGGAAAGGGTCTACTGGCATTCATATAATTTATTATGCCCAGACAACTGAACCATATTATGGCTGAATGTGATGAGCATCTTTATGCATGTTGCAAGGCAATGGCAAGGCTCCTACAACATGCTCAGTCACAAACTAGCCAACCCCATATGTTACTACTACTACTACTACTACATTATATTTATATGCTGCCCATCTCCTAGTAACTCTGGGCGGTTATGTTGATTGATTGATTGATTGATTGATTGATTGATTGATTGATCGATTGATCATATGTGGCTGCCGATCCCACATAGTGTGACTCTGGGCAGCGTACAAAACAATCATAAAAACAATTTTAAAAATATTCAAAAAGGACAAAAAAATTAATCTTATAAAAGGCTAAGGGAGCACATCACATTATAAACAATGGAGCCACCTAATCAAATTATCATTCCCTTGTGATCCCCAGGCCTGTTGGCACAACCAGATTTTAAGGACTTCTGGAAGGTCGGGAGAGATGGGGCCAATCTTACCCAGGGGGGACAGTGTTCCACAGGGCAGGTGCCGTGGCAGAAAAGACTCGTCTCCTGGGTCCCGTCAGATGTAACTCCTTAAAAGATGGGACCCACAACATACCTCTTCTGCCAGACCTGATGGGACAGGCAGATGTAATCGGGGAGAGGCTGTCCCTCAGATAGCCCGGCCTCATGCCATGAGGGGCTTTAAAGGTTAAAAACAGCACCTTGAATTGGACCTGGAAGCAAACTGGCAACCAATGCAGCTCACGGAACAGAGGAGTAACCTGTGCTATTCTGTGGGCACAGATAACTGCCCACGCTGCCACATACTGTATCAGCTGAAGCTTCCAGATACTCTTCAAGCGTAGTGTCACATAGAGTGCATTACAGAGTCTACCCAGGAGGTGACCAGAGCATGAGTGACTGTAAGCAGAGCCTCCTGATTAAGGAATGGGCACAACTGGCACACAACACAAAGCTGTGCAAATGTCCTCCTAGCCACAACGGCCACCTGCTCTTTAATCAGGAGTTGTGAGTCCAGGAGGACTCCCAGGTTGCGCACCAGGTCTCTTTGGGGCACTGTAACCCCATCCAGCACCGAAGATGGCATAGTCGCAGGACTGGCAGGCCCAAAAACCCAGAGCCACTCAGTCTTGCCAGGGTTCAGTTGACGCCTGCTGTTCCCCATCCAGACCCCCACCACCTCCAGATACCGGGATAAGTCATCAACAGCATCGCTGAATTCAGTAGGGGCAGAGATGTATAATTGGATATCATCAGTGTACTGATGATACCTCACCCCATGACGACAGATGAGCTCACCCAGTGGCTTCATGTAAATGTTAAAGAGGAGCGGAGAGAGCATTGAGTCCCGCAGCAGCACCACAGTCAGGGCCAAGGGCAGGATCTCTCCTCTCCAATCACCACCGACTGGTATGGACCACAGAGAAAAGAGGAGAACCAGCGCTGTCCATCCCCAGTCCCCTGAAGGATACCACGGTTGATGGTATTGAAGGCTGCTGAGAGGTCAAGCAGAGCAAGGATGGAAGCACAACCCCCATCCCGCTTCCACCAGAGATCATCCAAAAGCATGACCAAGGCTGCTTCTGTCCCATACCCAGGCCTGAATCCTGACTGAAAGGGGTCCAGATAACTCTAGGTTAATCTAGAGTTCCCAAGCTGGTGCTCTTAAAAATCCAGACTTCCCCAAACTGCCACATTTTAATGTAGTACAGGGCGGGGAAGATGAGAACATCTTGAAGGCACATGTTGGGGGACACTGCACTAGATCACTATCAGAGAGGAAAGATGTGACCCCGCAAAAGCTCCTGCAGTAATGCCTTTACCTCAAGGACTTGACAAACAGTCCTGATTAGGTCATCCAAACAGCTTTCTATTCTATAACAAAGGCCAAGATTGCCTTTATTTTATTTATTTTTTCCTGATCAGGGACTGCTCATGACAACAGAACATCTGAAAACACTACCGTCCTCCTCTGCCTTGCTAATCCTCTAGATCCACTCCAGAATCATCTGCTGCAAAATTTTCTCCTTTGGGCAACTGTCTGATCGCCATAGATGAACAGAATCCCCCATAATCCCCTTAACAGAATCCCAGTGTTTTATGTTGTGAGACTATTATTC